TGGAATCTAGTTTATTTGGGAAGTAAAAGACAGATTGACACATACCTGAATTTTTAACCTGAAGTGCAGTCAAGGTATGACCAGAACTTCCACTGCATAATCTTATTTACCCCTTAATTTAAGGTTTCAATTCAGTCTTTAAAATAAGAGTTAAAGAAATCAGTCTCTACTCTTGTCCTTACTTGTATTTGCAAATCCCGAGACAAAGGAAAAAACAAAGCACAAAAAAAAAAGATCTGCAGAAAATCACTTCTCCTTATTATTTTAAACCGTATTTATTTATGCCAAACTGCATGCAATTATACATATATATAGGTGTATATATATGCAAATAAATATTTTATTCACATTTATATGTAAATGAACACATTATTCTATGGTTCACCATTATCCTGACTGATAGGATGATCAGAGCCAGATAGACTGCTGACAGACTATATTCCTAGCTAAATGTAATAGGCCATTCTTTCTGAAATATCTGATTTTCTGTCCCAGCCTTTGTTGTTCTCCTCATTCCCAAGAATTAGATATTCTGAGAAGGATGGACCTAAGTCAGTGCTGCCAGGTGCCTGACCTGATGAGAATACATTTGTGCAAACAGATATATGAGGTCTTTTGGCTTAATCAGGTCTTAAGAGAAAGGTTTGCACTGCAGAAATCTTTCATGCATTATCTGGTTTTAATTAGGGGCTTTAATATCAATCAGCTTACAGGCTGTTACTAAGAAGGTACTAGATAGTGCTTTTGCAAATCAGAATTGCTACTGAAAAAAAGCTATAAAGAGGTATTCTTAGGGACTAGAGCAAATTCAATAATGGGCAACTTGGCTCTGTTCTCCTGCAAACACCAGTCCTGAGGAGGAAGCTGAGTGACCACAGACTGAACATAAGACCTGATTCCCAAATTTCCTATGGGAATGAAAGCTTCGCCTAGCACAAGGCAAGCAATACATGGGGAGTGGCAGTGGCAGGCTTCACAAGCAACCCTTCTGCATTTTCTACAAATGTTTAATACACAGGACAACCTAGGATCCTGGCATCATTTTGCCTGAAAGAAATTGAGTTTTGTCATCTTCCCTACTTTCCTGTGCCTTCCCAGCCTTCTCCAGCATACTAGTTCTCAAAGAGGAATGCAGAACACATCCTTTCCACTGATTCTGATCAAACCATTTCTGTTGTACACATTAATAAGATGTAATAGGCAACTTTACCTTTTTGACTTGCCCGATGAATTCTTTCTAGTTAAGTGGGACTGCATGCACAGCTGAGCAGAGACAAAATACAGGGTAACTTACCATTTAAAAAAAATTACTATGAATGCTATTTTCCTGAAAAATCAGAGAAGTAGTCTAACACAGGAATTGCACTGACTAAAGAGAACTCTTTTAAAATATGAATGATCTGTCATTCTAGGGGTTTTTTGCATTTCAACATGAAAACTGGCATTATGTTCCCTATTTATGACTTCTTCTACCAGGGAAGAGCAAAACAGGTAAAGCACAACTGCAGGAGGATTATTAATTTTCTCTAACTTCAGGAAAATGCTCATTCAGTGTTGGAAGAAAGTGATGGATTTTTTTTTCACCTCTTACAGGAGAAAGGCTATTCTTTCCAGTGGTTTTTGATCCTCAGATTCCAATTCCTCCCCCACAGTGGTTACAGACTACTCTACAGTGCATTTTCCATCTCAAATGCACCATGAGTTTCCTTTTTATGTATCTCTCTCATAGCCTTTAGAAAGCACTATGCACTATTTTTACTGCTTCTATGTAATTCTATTTCTAAGTAATACTTCTGTTGAAACTAGAGACAAGATACAACTTTGCTGCTAAAAAGAGATATTTTGATTTCCATATTAGGTAGCTCAAATATAGAAAACAGGACAGGACACATTTTGGCTGTATATATGAATAAACACTCATTTGATATTGATCCCAGAAAATAGTTTCCTGTGCTGTTTCAAACAATATCTTTGGGAGTGAGAGTCTGAATGGGGAGCAGGCCCAGGGAGCATCAGTCAATAGGCAGCATCTGTCATCCAGCTTCCTTCCAAGCATCCTCATCATCCAGTCCAGCCCAGTTAATGCCACTCGACTCATGCAGGTCCATGGGTGGGAAACAGCAGACCACAGGTGGCTCAAAACAGACCAATTCTGATGTGCTCTGCAAGCACACTGCTACTGATCCCCCTCAATATAGAAAAAACCCAGCAAACAGTTCACAGAATAAGGGCCAAAATTAATTATGCTGTATAACTCACGGAGCAAGCTGAGACTCCCACAGGACCTCAGGACACCAACAGAGGAACCATCTGGCCTGACACTGTACATTTTGGGTCAGGTTCCTATAAACGACCATGTTTAAATAATTTTCAGTTCCTTGTTTGATGGTGCAATGTACCCTCTCATCTTCTTGCAAATCAACTAGGGCATAATTATTTGGTATGATCTTACTATCACTTCTCATTTGTCCATTCAATAGCGGGGAAAATGGAGTAAGACAGAGGTTTAAAAGAGGAAACCTTTAGCTGATTTAGCTTTTCCAGTGCTGCTGCATGCAGCTCTCCAAACTGATAGCTGCCAATTTATTGCCATTCCTCCACTGTAGTGTCCAAACTTCCACGTTTTTAATTAAGAGAAATGAAAAGCAGCTGAAACAGCTGGCCAAATGGTAACTGTGGTATCTGCACATCTTTAAACAATGCTTTGTAGTAGGAAGAATGGATGTCTTAAAAAATTAAAACCACAAGGGGCTACAGGATTTTAACTGAAATCTGTGGCTTGTGAAGCAAAGCAACGAAGTGTCAGCACAGAATCCATTTGCTGGATGAATTGCTTGAGTCCATTTTGAATTATTGTGCTTCAGTGCAGGTAATATCCTTGCAAATGTCTGTTCTTCCATCTACGTCTCTGTGTCTGCAGTCCTTGTTCAGGAAATTATTAGTTCCAGCAGGAGGAAGAATGGGGCCAAATAACCTAATTAACTTAAAATGAAGCCTGAACACTTAAAATAAACCACACTTATCTGTGATAGAAAGGGACTGGACTGACAAAGGCTTAATTTCATGGGAAGTCACCATAGCCCCAAACACAAAGTAGATTGCTTCACTAGGGTAACAAAGACTTATTATCATATTATCACAGAGTATTATTACAAATACCCTTATTATTAGCACACTTCATGCATTATGATCTGACCTCAGACTGAACTGGCAGGCCCTTTTATTGTATACTGTATTTTACTGTCAGCAAGATAAAGCTCCAAGAAGTTCTCACAATGGCTAATACTCTTAAAGCATCATTTTATCAATTACAGTTACCATGTTCAATATTTACAAGTGGTTTTGCATATCAAAATATCTTAATACTTGACAAGGCAGCTGATGGCCAGAAGTTCTGGCCAGGCATCAGGAAGAAGTGAAAGACACATAAAAGCAAAGCCCACATTTTGGAATCTCACTGGTACCTCCTGCTTAGGCAGCATTCAACATCACTTCCAGGGACTATTTCCCTTGGCATCTGGGGTGTGCTTCCTAAAGCTGTGCTGGATGAAGAGCAATTCAGTTCCTGCTGTACTACTACCTTACTGAGCAACTGGAGGCAGGTTTCCACAATAAAGTGTGAGTGTGTGCATTAATATTTCATCAAAACCAGACATTTTATTTCTGGCTTCCAAAAACAAGCAGTAACATACTATGGACAGGTGGGGGAATCAATGGAGGCACAGGAAAAGCAACTGTGACATGCACTACTGTGTGTGAAAGCCCTTTTCTAATAAAAGTGATGAGAAACAGAATAATGATAAAGATGTAGGAATAATGAATGTTTTCCAAACATATTAATTCTGGTGAGACCACAATATAGATTGGTATTTTGTGGAATTTACTACAATGCTCAGTTAAACTTCCCAGAGCCAACCAGCATCAGTGCACTCATGCACCTGCACAGAAACACTATTCCCTCCTCCTTTTCATAGCCAGGATGCACCCAAGGCTCTGCAGCCCACACCACAACTCTTTCTGAGCCAGGCTGTGAGGAAGTGCTGTCCTGGTGGTGCCAGCACAGCTGGCCTGGCACAAACTGCAATTTGTTACTTAAAAGCAACAACTGAACGATGCTACTTTACAGATACAAGCTCCTACAGCAATACACTGACTGTCCTGCTGTAGTTTGGCCTATTAAAAAAAGGGTATATTTTTAAAAAATATCCCAATAGTAAAGAAACGCAGCGAAATTACCCTCTAATTTTTGTAAAAATAATTTCTAGGAAGTCCATGACACTACATTTCCTGAAGTTCCAAAAGAAACAGTCACACAAGGGAGATGTTCTTTCAGAACTTGCCACTGCACACTGAAGAAATGGGTTATACATAAAAGCAAGAGTGATTGAATAGATTTGTTTAACAGTTTAGTTAAAAGAAAATCAAACAACCAACAAAAGGTGAAAAGAAAATGGGGAGGTGCCTGGCTAATGAAAAATCCATCTATTTCAGTTATCTCAGGGCCTATTAAAAAAAAGGGTATATTTTTTAAAAATATCTCAATAGTAAAGAAACGCAGCAAAATTACCCTCTAATTTTTGTAAAAATAATTTCTAGGAAGTCCATGACACTACATTTCCTGAAGTTCCAAAAGAAACAGTCACACAAGGGAGATGTTCTTTCAGAACTTGCCACTGCACACTGAAGAAATGGGTTATACATAAAAGCAAGAGTGATTGAATAGATTTGTTTAACAGTTTAGTTAAAAGAAAATCAAACAACCAACAAAAGGTGAAAAGAAAATGGGGAGGTGCCTGGATAATGAAAAATCTATGTAATTCAGTGATCTCAAATGTTCTATGACATTTTGATCATAAAAAATATCACAGCTCTTCTCCATATAAATTTTCCAGTCATCTCAAACTACTTGCTAGGCCGTGCTAACTTGTAAAATATCTGTGATTAAAAAAAAAAATGGACTGTTGTATCAATGGGAAAAATCACATTGCTAAGATGTTTACCTTGTTTTATTTCTGCAGGTTTTATTCTTTCCCATGCAGCTGATTTCTCCCCATAGGACATCGACCTTTATTACTTGCTGACAACACGTCTGGCAAATAGCTTTCTGCTGTGGTAGCTGGGGTTGAGCCATCTGTTTTTTCTCCAGAGAGCCATGCCTCATTCACAATGGCATTTTTGTGTTTCACTCCCTGGGCAGTAGCACCTGCATGCTGATTTCCCCTCTGAGCCCAGAAGATGCCACGGTGTTTCCACGGCCGATCCCTCCCCTCCGTGGCCCAGAGCAGGGCACGCTCCAGGGCACTGCAGCATCCTCCAGCCCTGGCAGCAGAGGCCAGGGGGCTTCCCCGTGGATCATGGGCAGGCTGGGACCAGCCCAAGGGCTTGAGCTGGAGGGGACAGCTGGAGGTATCTGAGGAGGGAAGGAGAGCAGAAACCGTGACCTTGGATGTCCCAGGGTGTTGCTGTATGTTTTCATGGAAACAGGACGCTCTATGCATTGTGGCTGATTTCAGCTGTGGCCTCCCATGTAATTGCACAAGAGGCCCATGTCCTGATTTCACTGGGATTTAATTAAAGCTTATATGATTTATATTAAAAAATAATCTCTGAATTCACAAAGATCAATCAAAGAGCTACTTCCATTCTGCTTTTCATAACAGTTTTCTTTTATGGCCATGTTTTCCTTGGTCTTTTTTATGTGTGAGTGTGAGAGAGAAAAGGACCAGAAAACTTGGTTTGAACTGTTACATATATCCCCTGGACTAAGTAACATGTTATCAGAATTCTGAGTCACCATTTCATTGCATAATAAATTACTTAACTAAAAGGAAATCTCAGTATCTTCCATGTTCATTAATGCCATGAGCAAAAACTATGCTTTTAATTGTTTCATTGCATTTATTTTAATCCAAGATTGTAAAGGAAATTCACTAGAGTAACATTTTTAACTCCTCCACCTAACTGGCTCCAGTAATTGCATATTTGGCTTTTGTTTCAATACAAGTATTGAGAGGTTATGTTGTCTCAGAGAGCCTGAAATCTCTTGCGTGTTTAGTTTAGCAGCAGACTGTCACAAATGCAATTGCAATTGATCAGCTCTGTTCTTAACAGGATTCCTGCAGTTAATGGAAATTACTATAAAGAGCTTCAGGGCATAGGAATAATTGGATCACTAAAAAAAAAAAAAAAAAAAAAATTGGAGGGGAAAAAAGGTAGGACAAGATCAACAAAACAACTTTTTTTAAAGCATCCAACAATTTGCAAAAATTATCTTACCACAGAGTAAGATACACCATGATAATGATAAAACCAAAATCTTTTAATTATTTTTATAAGCCCTAAGCCCCTCTTAAACAATGGCAAAGAAAATGCAAAATGAAAAACATTAAATAGTTATTATTTTCAGCTTGTCTAAACTAACAATCAACTGTGCATCTCTGGAAGGAATCATTCAAACATCAAAAAAAATCATTCAAAATCTTCTACCAAGAATAAGAGATTTCACTGAACTAAAACCAGTGAGAGAACTTTTACTGACCTGGCAGGTTTTGGGATGGTTTTCTCTTAGTTCTCCATGCAAGGCTGTGATCCTCTCTGGGCTTGCTATTCCAACAGAAGAACCAGCACTCACATTTGGGGTGAGGGGAGAACTCTGGGGGCCATCCCTCCCTGGCTGAGAGTCTGCAGGTACTGACCCAATCCTCCTGTTCCCTCTGGCACCTGCCACACAATCCTCTGGCTGTCCATTAGCCTGGGAAACATCTGTGGAGGAAGGCAGCTTCTGCAAGAGAAAATAGCATTTTAACAAATTCAGGATAGATTAAGCTTTCCAATGCTGCTCATTTTGGATTAGTGGAAGCCATTTGGATGAGGTCACTAAAATAAATATTCTCAGAAATTAACTGTAAATAAACTACATTTAGCAAAATAAGGGAAAAGATAATAGAGCAATTATTTCAGATGTGGAGCATTCCTGCAACTCTCTAAATAAAGAATCCTGTATTCAACAAGTCATCCTCAGAACAAAACAAGAAATATCTCTAAGCTTTAACTACAGCTGAAAATTTGCCCTGGGCTATTAAGAAAACCTAGATTAAAACTAGAAAAAAAAAAATCCAAATTTTAAAAATTATCTCAGTTCTCTTGAAGAATCTAAAAATTTCTAACAGGATTCTTTTACAAATATATTTTCTCACTCCACACTGTACAACTAATTCAGGTTTGTCTAACTACGAATGCTCAAAAAAGTTAAGCTGAACAGACTCCAAAAGTGTGTTAGTTCAACTTTATGAACTCTTGTCCGAGCCCTCCTATTCAAAACAAAAAATATATTAATTCAGTTGATCTTATTTTACGTCCAAACCAACTTTAACACCACAGCAAACTATCCTTTTAGAATATCTTCACTGAGCTGCAGACAAATTTAAGAGAGAAATGGCAGTTTAATTATGCACATTTTCATAACAGTCACAAGCAGATCTCCCTGAATACAATGACTATTACAAGGCAGTAGCATTTTATCATTCAAAGCCAAATTTATTATACCTACTAGATCATTGTTACATTTTTTCTTGAGATTGCAAGCCTTGCCACTTCAGGCTTTCAGTTTTTGAAGAGTTACTTATTTATTTCTAAAATCATTATGCATTAACATCTCATTGCCATTTATATATATATATGCCAAATCAGGAAAAATTACTTTAAAGAAAACACATTTTGCTTAAAATAATATATTGTTTTTGGTCTGTGCATCTTTATTGAGTTTTAGCTACATCACTTGTGTCCATTAAAAAAAAGAAAAGTCAAAGGACTCTGAAATGCAAGAGCAGTGTAAGATTGCTCTGAAAATGACTCAACAGAAAAATGAGCATTTATTGACAAGCTCCTGCATCTAAATATAATTCTATTGTGACATGAAGAAGAACAGAATAGTGCTTTTGTTGTTGCCATTTCACCTCCTGTTCTTGGCTCCCCACCATGAGCAGAGGGAAGCAGTTCTGATGACTTGTGGCCATTGGTCTCCTTAAAGTACCCACCACAAGCATGTGTGGCCAGCTGAGGCACTGCCCAGGAGCAGCTTCACCTGGATCCTTGATTTCAAGCTGAACAACAGGCCAGGGAACAAGGCAGGCACCTCCAGGAATGGAAGGACCACTCACAATGGTCACTTTGGGGCAGAATTTAGATTGCTGCTCTTCCCTAAAAGGTTTAGTTTCTCTGTGCTGATTACAGAGGGGGCCTGTGATGACATCTGGATATTGCATTTATTTAGGCAAGGTGGCATGAACACCCAAACATATCCTAGCATTGCAGACATAGATCAGCTGGAAAGTGAAAGCTTTACATTTGGATGTTCCCCTCCAGACACAGGAGCCCAAGGCAGCTCCTGAAGTCCTTGGTTTCTAACCAAGGTTACAAGTGCAGTATCTCTCCCCATCACTCACAAAAAATTCCAGCTGGCTTAAAGCAATGAATGGTCAGCCCTGAAATGTTTTCAGGCATGAAGACATCAGATCTAAAAATATTTGATGAGAATTTCCTCACTACAGGAAGCACAGTTAGAGGCATTTGTGGTGATAGATGAGAGTGAGCAGGAGCAGAACAAGTTCTGGAGCTCAGTGACCCATGCAAAGGCAAATCACTGTCCTGCTCATAGGCAGAGGAGCTGGTAAAGCTGCCAGAAAAAAAGCACACCACCAAATCAAAGCTGTGGCACTGGAGCAAGTAATTTCTAGAAAAATAATCTCCTTGCAGGGTCATTCCTTTCCTTCAACTCTTCACCCCACAAACCCTTTGGCCTCTTGGAATTAGCAAATTCTTCTGCAGCCAAAGTGGTGACACTCAGCAGAAAGTAGGGTTAGTGCAAACCCCAGTGAGTGAAGATGCCACTACTCTGACAAAGATTTCACAGTATAGTCTGCACTGTATTTGAAAGTTGGTATGATTTTCTCAAAAGACTCATCTCTGGTGTGTCATAAGACTAGCACTAAAGATTGTATTTTTTACAGCACTTTGCTACAGCTAAGCAAAAATTCTGTGCTTTGTCTCAATGCCCAAACAATAACTTGTTCTTTTTCAGATTGGTTCTTTTTTATTATCTATATTTTTAATATTTATTCTATTTTCCTATTATTTTTGCTTTCCTCTCAATTTTCCACAAATTATTCCACCTAGGAAGAAATGAAAATATTGTGATATTTGACCAAACTGAGAAGAGTGTAAACTTGCATGATGCCAAGTTCTAAAAAGGATTACTATTGAAACCAAAAACCATCAGCTTCCCCCAAGGCTACAAAAAAATAAGATACTGGTGTCAGAGAGAAGATGAAAATGTTTTAATTTATCTTCATATTTTTAGTTGTACATTTTATGTTAATCTAAATTCTATCATTAATCAGAAAATAAAGGAAGGTTAGTTTTTAAGGTGTTTCTTTTTTTTTTAGGCATGGCTATTCCTATACTGGCATGTGCTGCTCTAGAGAAACACATACTGTTGCCCATGAACTACAGAAAAAAAAAATCACTGCTAAAATATCTGTATTATGCAGTCAGAAAATACATTTAAATCTTGTCAGCTAAACCAAATTTTGCCTTCAAAGGGCATTAACCTTGAGAAAGAACCTTCTCCACAGCAAAATTCTTGAGGTCCCCTCTATCCAAACAACCACTTACATAATTATTGAACAGCATTATCAGTTATTTCATTGGAAAGGCCAGGCTGTCACTAACTTTTTAAAATCTGTATTTCATGTCTCTCAGTATTTTTAATAATTTCTCTAAAGGTCAAAAATAATATCTCTCAGCAATGGACTTCACCCTTCTTTAAAAAAAATTACTAAACAAATAATTCCACTCCTTTATCCACTTGCAATTCCAATGATTCAAGGCATGTTTTTTGTAATGTCAGGTTAAAAAAAAAGCCTCTTCCTGCAAAGAAACCTTTCTCTTGAAAGGTTCCTTGATCAGCCTTGTCCCAGAAAGACTGAAAGCCCAAAGTTAAATTCTTTCTCCCTTTGGAGGGTAGGACTCATCAAACCAAACCCCTGGCCCCCTTGACAACCACTGGAGTCCAACTTCTGCAGCTCTTCCCACCTTATCCAGAATCCCAGGATGGGTCAGGCTGGAAGGGACCACACTGGGTCATCTGCTCCACCCTCCCTGCTCCAGCAGGGCCACCCCAGAGCACATGGCACAGGGCTGTGTCCAGATGGTTCTTGAAGATCTCCAACGAGGGAGACTCCACTCCCTCTCTGGGCAGCCTGTCAGTGCTCAGTCATCTGCACTTACCTAAAGCAGTATGTAAAATGGGCAAGATAATTCCTTGGAAGAATGTCTTTCTCTGCTTTAATGATGAAAATAAATAGATAAACTACCACAGATGACTGCCAGAAGTACAGACATCATATAGGAAATGTATCTCACCCTCAGTGCCAGAAAAGTCTCTGACCTTAACAGCCACACACAAACCATTTTGAGGACAGCATCAGAGAATTTTATTTCAGGCTTATTATCTTCAAATACAGTCCACTGGAAACTTGTGAAGTAATGAGTAGAAATACAAACCAATAAACAAACAAAAAGCATTGTTCTACCAAAACATATCTCAGAAGAAATCCCTTGACAGAAAGAAGAATTAAGCTATGCTGTTCTGAGCATTTAATTCCTATTCTGTAAAACAATTCACTGCACTGGACACATTCCTTGCCTGGAGCTTTCCATCCATAAGGTTTAAGATGACTGCATGAAAAGCATTAAAAAGCACTACCATTTATCCCTACATTCCTTGCACAAATTCCCTTTCAGCCTCAAGAAATGAGGGCAAAGAGCCACAATGGAAAGAATATATAAAATATATCATCAGGTCAAAGTGTTCCAGCACAAGAGAAATTGGATGAGCAGCATTTTCCATTACAGACATCCAGACAGAGGCTGTTTGCTCAATCATTTGAAGGAAAGAATTAAACATACTCCATTTTCTCCACACCTAGCCCAAAAGAGAGAGAAAATGCCCAAAATATTGCACAACTGTACTGGCTGGGCTGAGTCCATATGAAAGGGGAGCCAAGCTCACCTGCTCCTCTGCGTGGTTTTCTGATCCATCAAAAGCAGCATGGACACTGCCTCATGCTCAAGCCAGCCAGACTGGGTAAATCCTGGCCCTTAAACTGCCAGTAGACACCTAAACTCAGGAAAAAATCCAGCCTCCTCTTTCACACATCCTATTACTCATCTGGAACATCTCCTCTTGCTTCCCACTTTTACCATCCCAAGTAAAGCAGCTGTTGCAAAGCCAAGTCCCAGTCCTTTTTTGTTAGATGTTTTGTGAACATGAATGTCCAAGATCAGCTGATGAATGCTGTCCTGTGTTCTTTTCACTGGGAAAAGCAGAAAAACAACAACTGCTAATAATGTCCACGAATTAATTCTGCAAAAGCAAGAAAAGAAAGATGAGGCCAAGGTCCTTCCAATTTAAAAAAAAAAAATCAGCATTCAAAAGGAGGTGATTAAAATGGGACATGACAAAAGGCCAAACATGCACACACATTTTGTGTCTGACATTGGGCATGTGAATCCCAGCCATGGCACTGTGCCGAGTGCCACGTGTACCCGCTGGAGGCAGCCCTTGTCCCAGGAATGTGTCCTCTTCAGCCACATGCTTTTTATTTTCCAGACACAAAACAAGATAAGGTTTTAAAATATTTCTATTGCCAAAATTTATTATCATTCCATTCCAATGGGCTGCAATGGTTTCTCAAGTCTTTTAAAAAGAGAATATATCACAAAGCCTTAGAAATTAGCTTCTTTGTGCCTCCAAAAATTTCAAGTTTATATTAGACATAGATTGTTGTTTCAATGACTGCCCAAAAGATGACTTTTTTCAAAACTGAGAGGCAGCATTTATTCACCATCCTGTACAGAATTTTTGCTTTCACCAAAGTGAAATGGTAGTGGATGAAAAAGAATTGAAATAAAACCACTTCCATGTAATCGTATATGCTTATTATGATAAAAACCTACTAAAATTAAATTAAATTATACTAAATTGCTTAATTAAACCAAATTACAAATAAAGAGCTCCATGGTGTACAGTTTTATGACAAGGAAAAGTAATCCAAAACCTAGTCCTTTTTACAGGGACTTATTAAGGGAAGGAAAACTGGCTTTCTTTTATGAACATAATACTCTAGCATATATCTGTCCTCACTGAAGATTCCACTGCTGGAACAAAATGAGATACTACATGATTAAAGCGAATTTTATTTTCACTCGCAAATATTTGAATGTAACCCTGGGCTGTGAAAATAATCAAGAATGACAAGCCTCAAAATGTATGCTGCTCTGCTGAACTGAACTGATGGAAGTCTTGAGTTAGTCAGCAAAATAAAGCCATAGGAACAAAGGGATTTATCATGTCTGAGAAGAATGCTGAAAGTGAAGTCTGAAGAGAAGCTCCAAAGACAGTGGGTTTTGCATAACACCATCTTTGTGGTTTAGTATTTTAATTGGGATGAAAATTAGGGAGAAAATACTTCTGTCAAACAGAAAGAAATGACCAACCATCCACTGTGTCCTGAATAAGCAAAGAACTGAAGTTTGCCTTGGTCTGTGAGCATGAGTAACTTGGTGGTGCCCATAAGTCCCCCACCCAGAACCCAGCTGAAGCAGCTCTATCCCCTCTACTTGTAATTTCATGTACAGATTTAAAAAAAAAAACAACAAAAAACCCCAAAAAAGACCACCCCCAAACAAAAAAAAAAACCAAAAAACAAAACCCCCAAAAAACCAAAACCAGTTCTTCAGTTTTTAATAGAACTATGAACTATTTTTTTCTCTGAGAACATGACTCAGAGTTTTTTACTGAACTACAAAAGGCCAGGCACTGAATTGAGTAGAGTCCCCTTTCCCTTCAAAAGGCTCTGGATCAGTTCTTCATGCATCACTGCAAACTTTGAGCTGAAATTCATCAGTAAGTCAAGGCACAGAGGTTTGCTGCCAATGTGTGACAGGCTTCCACTTGTTACTGGTCCAGTAATGAATAAAGCCAATTGCAAATCTTTAATCTAAGAAGGAAAACAAAAGCAAAAAAAACCCCAAAAGACAAGAATCCACCAGGTTTTGTATAGTAGAATTCTAATGTTAGGAATGCTGTAGGAATGAAACACTGAGGGGAAGGAAGGAATGAGCTTTCAAAGGAATTTTATGTAAGTGGATGTTGGGCTTAGCTCTGGAATCTTAGATGTGAAGTCCAGTGAGAATAACAGTTGAAAGCAAGAAATAAAACTTCCAAGATGAAAAGTTAGTTCACTTAAACATATGTCTACAGAATTCAGTACAAGATCTTTTAAACCAAAGGAACGTATCACATGAATATGAAACAGTCTCTCTTTTATTTTTTTATTGTAAAGATTGTTAGGTTAGTAGTAGTGAAACTTGCAAATTTTTTCATTGAAGTGTCTTCCACTGGAAACCTGATGGATAGAAATAGGCATTTTTCATGAGAACATGCAACTCTTCTTTGATAGGAAAGTTTCCCCCTGTTATATGTGGAAGTTCTTATCACAGACCAGAAGAGCCTCCAGCTCAGAGTGAAGACACCCAGCAAGAGCCAGTCTGTTCTTTGCATGATAAAAAACCCCAGACTTGAATCCTGTTTGTGCCTGAGCCTAAGTGAGACCTCTGGCCACTAGAGTGCTAGACACCATGGAAGGGGCTTGTGCTCCACTCAGTGTGAACAGCTAAATATCTGCCAAAGCAGGGATTTAATGTGGGGCTCTATGCTGCAGATAAGTTCACTGGCTATCAGAATATATAGTTAATCTAATTTTCTCTTGTTGAACCTGCTAAGTTCTGTGATAAGTGAGCATTTAGGGAGACAGTGTGAGTGTGAACAGCATTTTGATATTTATTGTGTTGTCAGGCTTTATTAATGCTCATCTATCACAGCAGTGTCAGAGAAGAGTCTGAAGGCAGTGGAGTACCACCTCCCTTCTGACAGATGATTTCCATAAAACACTCCTGTGCAGAGGGAGCTTGGGTGAGGCAGTGGTGGACCCACACCTGGGGTACGCAAGGAGACACAGCCAGACACAGAGTCTTGTCCCATCCTGCAGCCAGGAATCAATCCACCTGTTCTTTAACATGCAGTGAAATTGCTTTTTGCCACAAAAACAAGTATTACTGAGTGGTAGCTTGCAACACTTACTTACACTGTAAGAATAAGGTATCAACATGATACAGAACACCACTCTGTGTGTAAAAATGCAAAATGATCAGAAAAATAAGCCAGTGGATTTACTATACTATATGCCCATTTTGAGCATCTTTTGCTGCTGAAAATGTCAAGTGTCATTAAGATAAATTCTTTTTATGTATTCATTTTGCAGTGCATTGTGTCAGCTGAAGTACAATATATAGTATGAACCAACATTCTGTGTTCTGGTGTGACAAGCACATAATATTATACAAATCTGTAACACACAGTATTTCCTCCCCTATCCCACTTTTAACCAAAAAGATTCTACCTGAGCGTACTTGACACAAACATTACCAAATATTGTTTGGGTACTTTTAGAGGCGTAAAAAAAAAAACAAACCCAAAAACCAGAAAATCAAAAGAAAAAAGAACTTGTTGACGGACACTGAAGCACTGCAAGGGAATTCCTGTTTCTTCAGGTTGTCTGGTTGAGATTCCTGTCCTTAAGAAAGTCTTCAAGTAGGTGCTACTCCAAACTCAGGAAGTTTATTGCCAGCATCCAAGATATTAATGACAATATTGAATGGAACCAGGTGTGAAACAGACTGCTTCCCACTTTTGCCTTGCCAGAGAAACACAAGTGACTAACTCCCTTTTGAAGACAAATGTCCACTGAGTTGACTTAAGTCTTAAAATATTCACTGCTGACCCTTCTTTTCCTGACTTCTTCAGAAATCTGTAATAATGCATTTTGCAGGAAAGAAATGCAAAATTCATATTTTAAATGAAATTGGGTAATATGTGCTGTATTATCCATCAGATACTTAGTCAAAATACCAGGAGAGTGTTTCTTGCATGGAACATTGATGCACTTTGCTTTAAGCTCCTGAAATTTAGACCCTGCCTACAACAACAGTAAAATGGCCAGCTCCACTGATTTGTCTGAAGCAATACTTATATTAAGCAATGAAATATATTTTATAATTACACATTAAGTCTCACTAAACACTTTGAAAACCACCAGTTAATTCAATACTGTACACATGAGGATCCTACAAGGAAGTATGAGCACTTACCTCTTGATCACACATTGGTGTAAAAGCAGCCATGTACTCTGCCAGGGTCATGTCATTCACCAGGTTCTGCATCTCTTCATCAAATGCAGAATTAATAAATCCTTGCCTGTGGAATTCATCATGCATTCTCCTAATGAAGCTGTTCCTTTCCTGGCACTTTTGGGTGAGGCAAGCCAGCTTAGCCTGTGTGGCATGAACACATAAACACCCCATAGTTCTGTCATTTCACTCCCTTCTCAGACTGCAAGATTACATTTTGTGTCTGATCTGTAATTCCACATCCTGACCTGAAGCTACAGACTGTATTCCTGTGTCTCTACATTTTTAGATGCCTCCACACCTTCAAGAGCAATACACATGCACAGACAAACTGGAAAGAGATGCTCCCTTTCCATGCGAAAGGTCCTCCTTTGGATAGGCAGAAAGTCACCTTGCAATGATGTCAATGAGCTCTTGCCTGAGGTGAAGGCCAGCAGCACCCAGCTAACCAGGGACAGCTGCACAAGGAAGGCACAGAAACCTGCAAGCAAAGGGATACCCTTGTGCAGGTCCTGAATCAGTGTTCAGGGAAACACAGTACCTTCAGAGGAGCTAATGTCAACTTCACTTCAGACTTCCTCTTCTGCATTTCTTTCTCCTGAAAGGTTGAGAAATATCCTGCATCAATTTATTCAAGAATTACTTTGAAATACTCCAGCAGTTTTTTGGTATTTGTTTTAGACCTGACTCTGAGGTGTACACTTTGCATATCTGTGTGAGCCTGTATCACAAACAGGATGAATCAGTGTAAGGCATTGGCTAAACACAGATAGGCTCTGGCATAAAAACACTGCCCTACTCACATCAGCATTAGTCTTAAAAATTAACAAAGGCTTTTGGATGTTCTTAGATGGAGCCTTAGATCAATGAGGTTATTTAATCAAAGCAGCATCACAGTAAAGAGCTGGTATCCTTCATTATGCACTCATGTTCATATTTACTCTGTGAATCTTCCAAAACAATCATTAGGGAAAAATTTTCCCTTTCCTTATCAATATTATACTGTAAAATTAGAGAAGAGAGGAGGGATTATATGCATGTGCATTCTACTCTGGCAAAGAAAGATCAACAACCTTTTACTCTGACACAGCTGCTACATGTCCTCTCCTAGGAGGTGAAGCAGGGTGGGCCGGATTGCTTAGTCTGTACATTATGATTAAAATCTACGAATGGTAACCCTCCTTTCTGATTATGCAGAAAAAAATACAGTATCTTGCTACATAAAATTCATTATCATTATGAATCAATACAGTATTTTTGACAATAAAGTACAAGTTCTTTTGCATTTATTTTGCCTATAAAGCTTACACTAAGTATATTACATTAATCATTAAACAACTCTCCTTTATGAGAAATCAGTAATGCTGAAAAAGGTCACATTGTCCTCAGCTAATAAATTGTGGACTTGGGAGGAATCAGAGCAGGCAGGACAGGGGAAACATGTCTTTACATTGCACTAGCACTGGGGGAACAAACAAAGAGCTGGCAGCAGGTCCCTGAACTGAAGTCATTCAACTCTTGATGATGCAGGGAGCAACACATCTTGCAATAGAACAATTAGGATTTGTCCATTTATATGGACTGCACATCTTACCCTTTACTCACCAACCACCTGTTGTGACACCAGACACTAGAAAACAATTTCATTTTACCAGCACTGTTCTTCCAAGAGGCATCCCCTAAGCCATGCCTGAGAGAAGCCACTAACCCTCTTTACAGGACTGGTTTAGAGCAAACCACAGCACAGGGTGAGGCTAGGAAAAACAAAACAGAACTACCACCACAAAACAAACAGTCAAACAATAAAACAGAAACCAAAATTGTAGAAAGATGGATTTACTGTGGAGAAAGTAGAATGAAACCTGTTCCCACTAGGGAGAAGACAATAATCTTTTGTATTTCAGAGTAGAAGCATGTTCTGCTCTTTGTATCAGGCTGTGTAGAACAAAGAGCACTATTGAGAACATGCCATTTAGTAGCTGTTTCAGAGCCTGATGGGCAATTCCAATTTGGCTCATATTGTAACGATTATCCTGTTCCAAAATATAGCTCCCAATAGGAAACAAAATCTAAGGGAAAGAAGTCCTAGCAGGAATTTGTTTCCACCCAAGAGTTCAGTCAGTAGCTGTAGTCACACTTAGAGCAGCAGCTTTGCTGTCACACTGTAAGGCAGCAGATTTGCAAATTTTAATGTACCTGCTCTGGTTTGCCAGGTGAAATATAATGCACAAGTGACTGACAAACTGCAAACTGCTTGTGTCGTGCATTTGTGCATACATGGGGGGGGTCTCATCAGAATAACTATGACAAAAATCCAAACCACACACCTGTCTGAAAACACTGAAACTCTTCATGTGTAACACCAGCAGATGAACCAAAAAAGTTAGGAAAACTCTATCAAAATTCTATTATTAGCTTGGAATTTCATAATCTGATATAGTGGAAAAAGAGGGTTGTGAATGCTAAAAAATCCTGACAATTTAAGCCAAGGACGTGGCTCTGTAAAGAATTTAAATGTAAAGCATCACTGTGCTTGCATTAAACTATGGGGATTAATTAGAGCAGAGACTGAATTTTCATGATCATCTATCATTTTTCCATAACATGGATCACTCAGGCAGTTTACATCTTCTCCCTGTTTCTCTGAAGTCAGGAGTACTTTTATGTGCCTGAAAACCATTTAACTATCCTCAGATTCATTCCCAGGAAAGATGACTATTTTGCTTCTCCCCTTTGAAAAAAGATATGTAGAATCTGATGTCTAAGCTCACATTTAAGCACACAGAAAACAATTTTATACCTTTTCACATAGCCGAGCCTGAAGGAGTTCCACTTCATTCTGCAAGTCATGAAACTGATTTTGTAATGCAGCCTGGTCCCTGAGCTGGGCTTTCAAGGTCAACACTTGCTGCTCTAATCTCTTACTGGCTATTTTATTAATCTCTTTTTCCTGGACATCCTTCAATGTGTAAACAGGCTAGAGAGAAAATAAACAGATTTTCAATTTAGGTGTATAAAACAACAAAAATATTGTTAATCATTTCTAATACCACAAGACTTCTCAATCAATATAACTACCTACCTTGTACATCAAAAAGAAGCAAGCTGATATAAATGATCCCAAAACTTCATGAACATATTAGCACTAATATTTTGCATTAATCTTAAACTCTTTATATGCAAAGAGTACTTGATCTCTGTGAGAAGAGGCACAGAATTGGATTCTCACAACATTTCTTCAAGGTAAAGATATGTGTTGCAATGATTTAATAAATGGGGAAACTGGGCAAAGACAGATGAAGTGACCAATCTGTGGTCACTCAGTGAGTAAGGAAAAAACTCAGAGGTTCCCAGTCTCCTGCTTCAACAAGAAGTAATATGTCCCTTGTTTTTCTACATATATTTATCTCAGTGAGACAATGCACTCTCCCAAATATTTATTTGTTCTGGAAGATTATTAATAAACTAATTAGATCTTAAGTAAAAATTTCTAAAAAGTATTTTTACATGAAAATCTAATAATAGTGATACAGAATAGTAATACAGAACAAGTGGAAAGAGAAGCTTCTGAATTTAACTCCTCCTCCCCCACTCTTCAATTTCTTTTCTCCCCAATTTCATGCTCTTAGATTGAAAGGATTAGTGAGAGCTTCAGATTGATGGTCAGCATCACAAGGTCAGCTCCTACAAGTGACACTGCCTGATTAAACATATAGATTTAGAATGAAGCAAATCTGAAAAAGAAGCAAGTATCCTGAAAAACACTTATGCTATTATATTAAAAAAAATGAGTTGATACATACAGCTGGTCAAGATTTCTGCTAATGTAAGTATCAGTATACAAGCAAGTCTAAAAGATTAATCTAAAAATTATAGTCTGACTCATGATATACTGTGGCAAAACCACATAACTTTCTGGCAAAACAGAATGATGGTTTACTTTTAATGGTTACAAACATTGATACAACTGATAGAGAAGTTCATACTCAGCCCTGATGCACAACACCACAGTACATTTTTCCCAGCCTTTTGGGCTTTGACGCCCTTGACTACAACCCACTGAAGGCACCATTCCACAGGGAACAGCAAACTGAGCTGATAGATCACATTACTGCAACACAGATTAAACCAGAAATATGTCACTGTCACAGTGCTCCTCCTCGTGAAGCCAGTCCTCTGTGCACAGCATCGGATGCTTTGTACCAAACTTTCTGGCTCCCTCTTGTGTCAGGAGAACAATAGGAACAGCTGGACACATCACGATGGATGAGACCAGGGCTGCAGGGACAAAAGCCTGAGGATGAGTCCATGACATGGTATTTCACTTATCTTCTCTCCCACATGAAAAGTGTGTTAAAAACAAAAGGGAAACACTCCCTAACTGAAGATGCTTTATGGGAAAAAAAATGGGAAAGTAAAACAACTGTGTGAGGGTTAGAGACAGAGAAGTTCCCTCTTTCCTTTTGCATTTGGCTGACCCACCAGCAGTTTTCTGTAGCTCCAACACACAAATGAGGCATACAAGGTTTTTGATGGGCACTCTGTCAGATGTCCCAGTTTGCAGCGACCATAGGTTATATAGTCAAGCTCCAGAAGGATGAAGGACCCAGTAGCTGGGACTGGGAAATAACCAAAGGATAACTAAGCCTAAAACATAGCATTTAACACACTGCATTCTTGTAAAACCTGGCAAGACCACTACTTTTTGAAGTTGGTAGCTAAACATTAAAAAGAAAACCAGTATCTTCCTCTTAAGTGAATTGTGCCTGTCTGAAAACTCAGTGAGAAAATGAGAAGGAATATGACCTTTTTTGCTACAGGCCTTTTTTGCAGACAGTCATCAGGAGTTCACTGGGGAAGCCTGGTGCCTTATTTATTGTGTGCACTTCATGCAAAATTCTTCTATTAATTTTTAAAGCTGAAAACATTACTCTGCCCCCTTCCTGCTCACCCCCATATTTCTCTTAAATTCAACCACAGCACTACCTCAGAAATCTCACCCAAATAATTCTAGGCTGAAGCATATTTCACTTGTTAGCAACTTCACTGAAATAAAGTCCTAGCAGTAAGTTTCAAACATATTATCTTAGCTCTCTTTTACTTGAAATAAATAATATAATTATAATATCAGCCTTATGGACTCTCACGTGACAACTAGGATCCCTGGGCAGCAGGGCCTGGAGAACATAAGAAATGCAAAAAGTTCTAAAGCTTTTTTCTAAACACTCAACACACGGCATATTTCAAACACTTTGGGTTCTAGGCCCAGAATGCTCACATCTTCACTTCTTTCAAGCATTGCAGCAAGAAAAATGAAGTTTAGAACGAGAAAAAGCATAAATTACTCTGATCTACTGTATAAGGGTTTATTAGTAACTTTGAGTAATGAAAAAGAGTTTTTGTCAAGGGTGGAAAGTAACTGAAAACAAAAACTGGAGCACCAGTCAACAAAACTGCCCTCAGGAGTAACATGATGCCAGAAAAGTAGATCAGGATCTTTCCTGTGACAAAAAGCCTTTTTTAAAATTTAATCTAAAAAAACTTATCTCATGTTTTAAGGCCTCACACAAACCTGCTACCAACAGCTTGGTGTATAATAAAAAGTTTATTTAAAAGTGAATTATTAAAATGAAGTTGACCTTTGTAAAGATATATCTACTCTATTTTCTATTCTACTACTCACTAAATTGCATCAACAAAATAATTATTTGGTTAAAGCATAATGGAGTTATGCAGATAATTACTTCTGCCATCAAATAGTGCAAGTGAAGGATAAACCCAGTTCTGTGAAGTACATGGACTGCAACTTTGACCTGTATTCAAAAATTTGACACTAAGCCTACAAGAAGTCAGACATAAACCAAACAGCATCACAGTACTGCATAAATATTGCAATATCCTACTGATCAATAAACACTTATTTGAAAACATAAGTTGTTGGAGGGAATTAAAAGTGGCAGAGTTTATAGCAAAAGGCTGACCTGCACTTCTTCCAGTGTAAAAATATTCTGTCAAGGCTGATGAATTTTATTCCCATGTGAGTCATAGGAATAATTACCATCTTACTTCACTGACCAACATAATAAACACTAATTGCCCCAGACAGTCCCTAAAAAAGGATTAAAGCTCCATTTCCCAAAAATGCACCCAAAATCTTATCTGCTGGCTTAAACAAAACACGTGACACTTTTCTTTTTATTTTCAAATAATTTGGGTGTTTCTTCTTGTTTGAAATAGATTCTGTTATATTAGGATGCTACATGCCAATACATCAGAATGACATGAAAATATTTTAATTTTTTCATTTCAAAGTCTGAATTCAGCTGTCTAAACACCAGCCCATAGTGCCATGAAATAACTGCCTAGGACTTCCTGGCTATACACACCTTCAGCCAGGATGCCCTAAGGCCTTTAGCTGGGATAAACAGTGACATTCAGGCAACTGAACTGATCTCAGAACCCTTATATTTTCCAGAATTTGTTTCTATTTTCTTCTAAAACCATATCTATCCAACCTGTTCAAAATTAATCTGCAAATATTTGTAGATTGCTACAAATGTCCTTTTCCACCTAGCAGAAATTGCATATTACTTCTTTGTAGTTCACTACTTAAGGAGGGCAAAAATAATTACAGGGTTAGCTGAAAAGTCATTATAAAAGCTGCTTCCAGAAGATTATTCAGTAATTAAAAGTCTTTCCATAAAACACTTTATTTTGGTGGAAAAACATAAACCTGTATCAAGACAGAGAACCACCTGAAAATTAAAAAAAGTTTAATTTACAGCAAAACCAGAATTTCTGTGATATAAACACATTCCAGTGAGATAGAAAGATTTCCTGGATTTTGGAGACACATATTTGGGCCACATGCCTCCATTTAAGACTTTGACTTTAATCCACACCATCTGTCCACAGTGTCATTTTGCCTGCCCAAATCCAGCAATCAGGGCTACAAGGCCTGAAATCAGGGCAAAAAGGCCAAATACTGCAAAACACTGCAGACTCCTCCAAAACCTTTCATTTAGGCAACCTGAAAATGACTTTGGCTAAAGAGAGCAGAACAAGAGCCCTCCTAAATAAAAAAGTGAGGTGTTTACATTGCCCATGCAGAGCCCAGAACTGGACTATTCTGCAGACAGATGGTCTACCTGGCATAACATCTGCTCTCTTTTAAGTTTTCAGTGGCTGGAGATGCTCTAAACTTGCTTCAAATCTATTCCCAATCCCAGTAATGGGTGTTTCTGCAGCCAGCAGCCTCCTCCCAAGGACCGTGCTTTTCTCCATGCCATGCACATACATACCATTAATTTGCAGTGCTGCTTTCCCTGCATTTTGTCCCCAACTTCTTGCTTAAGGTGGTCTAATTCTGAGAGAGCCTGCATCAAACGAGTTTTGGTTTCTTCATACCTTGTTTCAGCAAAACCAAGCTCTCTGTACCACTTCTGAGCCTAACAGGAAGAACAAAAATTGCTGAGTGTAATTAGTCCAGCAGTGGTATCCTTTCTCAATACCAGCTTACATGCATGGATTTGAGGCTGCTCTCTACATCATAGCTTTTGAATTGTTGTCAATTGATTAAAATAAATGAAGTTATACAATACACTACAATCTTATCATAAGACATTAATGCAACTCTAGAAGTATGCCCTATAGAATATCTCACTAGAGCTATGTCAAAAATATTATTTAAATTTATTTCTAAATGTGAAGGAACCATGAATATTCTGAATAAAGTTTAAAAAAGCAGTGGTGTATGCACACATGATTTCAGAGATCACATCTTTGAAAGTCCTCAGAGCAAAGTGAAAGCAAGTTTTTTATTAGCTGGGCAGGGGAGAAAAGTCTTCTTGAGGAGTGTGCCATGGTTTTAACTGGGACAGAGTTCATTTTCTCCTTAGTAGCTGACACAATGCAGTGGTTAATTCAGTATGAGAATCAAAACAAAAATGTCAAAAATAAAGAATGCAAAGAAGTGGAGGGAAGGCCCCCCCATATGCTCACCTTTTGATTTTTTTCTAGTCTGCCTTCATTCCACTTACACACATTAACTGTACTTTTGAAAACAAAAGCAAACCTAAACCAAAAACCACAAAGAAGCCCTCAATAGCTCAGCTGGTTGCCTGACAGCAAGCTCTCTCCTTTGTATGATATATCATTTTTTCTCCCATCTGGAAGCAAAGGTTTCACATTATTTTAAGTAAACGGAGGAAAGTATTTTAACACAGAACTTCCTTATAACACACAAAATGATTAGAAGGACCCAAGTTAATCAGATTTTAAAAAAGAAATAAAAATATGTTTTTATTTCAAAAATAAAAACATATTTTTTATGTTTTTATTTTATGTTCAAAATACAAGGTCAGAAGTCCTTGTCTAACCATCCAACAGTCATCTAAATCCATCCCTTCACTCCAGTTGCTTCACTTGAAAGATGGGAAGTCTTATAAAGATGCTGTCAAAGGACAATAATTTCATACAAACACCATGAAAACCCTATTGCTGCTTTTCTTTTACATACTCAACACATGCTGCTGCCAATGGTTTGTCCACAGGGCATGTGAGTGATGTCTGTTACAACCCCATAAATATACACCTGCCAGAAAAACACTGCATTATGCTTAGATGTGCATGGAGTGGAGACTGATTAATAAATAGGAATGTGAATATCTAGTGCATTCAGAAAGGCACAGCACTAAAAGCTTCCTTGGATGGTGTCAAAAGTGCAGATTTACTTCACACAGACACAGAAGACTCCACTCCGGTGTTGCTGGACTTGGTGTTTGCTACACAGCTGTAGAGAGGAGGGCAGCACGCCTGGCAATGCCTCTGGGTGCAGCAAACCCCTGACACGATCTGGCTTCTCACTCAAAAACTGCTTTCAGTTCAGGTTTGCAGTAACCCTCAGGGCTTCCACCACCTTCTCCTCATTCCCAGTGATGTGGAGGGAAGCAGCTGCCCAGAGGTGGCCAGAGTGGGCAGGTTGTTGTGTGTGCCTTTGCCAGGGCACTCAGCCTCTGGCACAGTGTGCTGCAGGAATGCAGCTGCACTTGATGCTCACCCAGCCAAGGGTGACTGTGCCATTCATCACTCAAAGATCAGAGGAACATTTTGGTTCTGCAGATCAGAGACTTCCCTGTTTTGTGAAAGTGTTAGAGCCTGGCAGAAAGAAGACAGCCATGTAAGAAAACAAAAGAAAAAACAAATTTGGTCCTCAGAAGTGCATCAGAGTAGAAGGTTACCTCTTTTTTTGATTTTTCTAATTCCTTTTGCTGTATTTTTAGTTTCTCTTCCACCTTTCCAACTTGCTCTTTCATTGTGCTGTAGCTTTCAAACATGCTGCCCTGGAGAGAAAAAAAAGACAGGATGACTCACCAAATGGCACACAGTCGTTCATAGAACAATAGATGGTTTCCTCTTAAACTACTACAAAAATTTTGCATAAAATCAAGGTATGACATATAAGTATTTCCCTGCTGACTATTCTCAAGTGAAGTAGTAATTTTGCATTTATAAGTACATAGTAAACTCCACAGAAATGCACTGTGGTGTAAGATGTATCTTACATGTATCTTACACCACAGGAAGAACATGGATAAGAAATCCACCACAAGTAAAGATCCTTTCTTTAGAGATATATAATATAGATCATATACATCAAAACATTAAAAAAAAAAAAATTAGATAAAATCAAAATAAAATTAGTAAATTATCATGTGCACACTTTTCACCAAAACATGCTATTTTCACCATTCTAAAAAGTTTCCTTCTGTTAGGAGAATTTGTAGTAGAATTAAAGCTTGTAAAAGCTTTTACTCTTGCAATTACATAAATATTTTTTTAAAGCCTGAACAGTGCAGTCTTTTAAGTATTATTTTTAACTTAGTAGCTTGCTGTATCACTTTAATATTCTCTAATACAACATTCCAAAAAAAAAACCTTCTCTGGCATTTTGCCTTCTATTTAGAAGTTAACTTTAGCACCTCAGCTCATGTTAAGAGGTTAAAGTTTCCTCCATCACTCAGCTTTGCTCTCCAAATGACATTTGTAGCTCTCTTTCTTTAGCAGATCCTGCTTGATAACATTCTTTACTCTTATTATTTACCTTTTTCCCAGGGGAATAATCTGAAGGATCTACAGCCAGAGCTCCCTGTTCTTCAGTTTGTGTTACACTACATGCTGTTTCAACTTTCTTTGGCTTAAGACCAGGTTGTTGACTTTCTTCTTTCAGTTTTATATTTGTCTTTATTCCTATACTTTTCTCTTTTCTTAGTTCTTCATAGGTGAAACCCAGAGAAGACATTAATTCCTTTAAATTTTTATTTTCTAAAATAATGTTCACATTTGCTTTCTGAAATTGATCCAGCTGTTCTGAAGTTTCTTGCTTGATTCTGTCTATGTCTCTTTGCAGTACACATTTTTCTTCCTGTAAGTGAGAAATGGTTTGATAACAGCTAGTTTTGCAGTCTTGGAGTTCTGAAACTAAGGTCCTGTATTTGTCTTGCTCACATTTTATCTCTGCCACATGTCTCAACAAAGTTTCTTTTTCGCCTTCTGAAAGAGCTATTCTTTGTAAATTTCTCTTTCTCTCCTGCATTAATTCATTATATTGTGCTACATAGTTCTCCTTGTCTTGTAATAATTTAGCCATTTCTTTGAAGCACCTGCTTCTTTCTTCTTTCAGGTCAGAAAGCAGCTGGAAGAACCTCATTTTCCATCTATTCAGGGATAGAACGCCCCCGTCAAGTTTATTTGATGCAATTGTCCATGAATCTTTTTCAGAATTCCTGTTTTTCTCTTCAGTATATGAGAGATTCTTAGAAAAAGTTGCAACTAAAAATGTTCCTGGGGTCACGGTACTTTCTTCTGTATAGTTGTTATAACATCCACCAGCAACTTCTTTCTCATTAAGTAAGTTTTGGAATGAAAGAACATTAGCTTCATCTGCTGCTAAAACATTTTGAAAATATGCATCCATCTCCTCTTCCAGGGCACACATCATCTGAACATATCTGTCATTCTCCTGTTGCAATATACAGACTTTTTTGGAGTAATTCTCATTCTCTTGCATCAGCAGAAATATCCTCTGAGAACACGCAGCCACTGCCTTTTCCAGTACAGATATTCTCACGTTACACTCATTTCCAGCTCCCCAGGTTGACGGATGACAGATACATTTATAAAAACTGTTCCCTGGCTGGAATAGTTTGCTTAAGCACACAGGCCCCTCTTGCAGAGGAAACAACAAGTTTAGTGGATACGTCTCTTCATTCAATAAAAAAAAATTCTGAGAGTATTCATGTTGCACAATTTTAGCAGCTGCTTTTTGACATGAGAAATTCTTATTTGGTTCATGTAATTTTGAGGTCTGGTCTTTCCTTTTTGCCAGGCCAATATTGCTGGAGGGGCTTGTTTGGTGAGTTGGTTTCTGAGCCTGCTTTCCTTTCCCTTCAATTTCAATTATGTCTTCTCCATTACATCCACTATTCACATCAGGGATGCAGATTTCTGAAATATTTTCTTCTTTCTCCATTCGTTCACGACTCCCTTTGACACATTTTTTAAAGTCTTTAAAATCAACAGATAAACTCTGGGCACCCTGCATGCTATGGAGACTCTCTTTGGCTTCCACTCCTTGCTTCCCAGGACAGAATAATTCAGTTTTGTAGGAAACTTTAGAACTTTCCTCAAGACCACAGGTCACCTGTCCTTGCTGGGCTTTGTCATTCTGTATTTCTTCTCTTTCAGCTCTCCCTGTAAAGATTTTTTGGTGATACTTTTCATCATCAACATCTTTATCTAGATATCTGTTCTCACTCACACTTCCTGGCAGAATTTGCTTGTTTCCCCAATGTTTTTCCATGTTGCATTCCTCTATAGATGTGAAAATTTCAGCCGCAGTGGAAGGCAATGTTCCATGGAGAAGTTCAGTAGCTCTGTCATAAAGTCCTTCTTCTGCAACAAAGCAAAGGCCATCAGACCAAAGATTAGTATTTGTCTCACAGAAACTCAAATTCCTCACTTTCTCTTCAGTGGTGAAAGCTGTTATGTGACATCTTCCAGGCTCAAACAAGGTCAGCTGGAGCTCCTTCCTCATTAAGATTTCAACCACAGAAGCAGGGAATGTCTTCACTGGTAGAGTTATAGCGTGCTCCTTCAAGAGAAAAAGGGTTTCTTCATCTTCAGTTTCCTTACTTGTCTCACCATTGGGTAACTTCTCAGAACAAGGGGGAAGCAGTCCTGCTGCGTGATGACTTGGGGTACACCTCAGCAAAGTGGAAGTGTCCTCCAGAGGATTTGCCCTCTGTGGTCCAAGGGTGACCTGACAATAACAAATGAGAAATTCAAAAACATATGCAAAGTAACATACTAATAATATTTTGTTTTTTCCTTCATTGACAAAACACTTGATTACAGATAGATGAGAAAAAAATATTTCCATACAAAGTGTTTTCAAATAATTAAACACTTGCAAGAAGAGTAATGTTACAAATTAAGTATGAGTAAGTCAACTATTGTATTAGTGCACACCTTTATGTATACACCTTGTAAAGCATCTGCAGTAGCTATGATTTAAAGCTAGTAATATATTCACCTTTAAATACACCAACTCTTCATTTTCTCTCCTATTTCACTTACTCCCTGTGCACAAAGATAGCAAGAACAGCAGTAACTCTTCTTCTCACCTGCTCAGTCTCAGCTAGAGCAGCAACTTTCACAAAGGCTCTGGAACTGCATTCCAAAACTGGTACAAGATCTTCTGGTACCTCCTCCATCTGTTTTGGTCCCTCACAACTACAGGCTGGTGTTTCTGTTATGATAAAGCACTGGTTAATGTAATGTCACTCCTAGGTAGCTACAAAAAAAGCAAACCCCAAACCATCCAAGAACATGTTCTGAATAGAAAAATATTTTAGTGAGAGCATACTCAAAATTCCTTTCTCTATCAGCAGCATACATCACCACTGATACAGATAAAAGCATGATGGCAGACACGAAAATGAGCTTCATAAAAACCCCATAAATATCGAGGTCTAAACCAAGGTGTATTTGGGGTTCATGGTTTCCAGTTCCCAAAGCATTTGGAAATGGAAAATACATTTCATTACAGTGGGCAGGTGGAAACTTAGGGATTAAACTTACAGGTTAAAATTACTCAGTGCAAGTCTGCATCTACATACACTAAAATTTGCTATAAAATTCCCATTCATTTATATTGGAAGAATTTACCTAATATAATCTGCCAAGAAAAGAGCTTTGACATTGTTTGGTCTGAAGAGCAAATCTCTCTGCTGCATGGCATTCCCAAATACTATACTTCATCCAGGACATACAAAGTACCCTCTCACCTCTGAAGTTTCTTGAAAGTTCTAGGATGTCTTGTGAAAGCTCATATTTGAATAGCAGCAAACAGTTATCATTTCACCTTCCCCAGATACAGTTTAGAGATTAGCAGGATTTTCAAAGGGTTTACACCTTTTAAGTCATACACACCCCATGAACAAAATCATCTTCACTTTGATGGTATAGAAATGAAAGCAAAAAATCAGATTTCTTTGCATACCAGACTCTTTATCTTGTAGCAGCACAACTGGAGTTTGAGTAGCTCTGCTTCTGAGTGAATCCAAGACTGCCCTCCATTTCAGATTCTGAACTTCATCTTGAATTAGCTCTCCATTCTTAATGGGAAAAGGGGGAGGAAAAGGAAAAAACCCCACAGGTTATATGCATATATATGGTGGTTGTGATAAGAAAAACAGGCATATGAATTTCCTTTTCTATTTCACATTCAAAAGACCCATTATTTCATTAGGACTGCTATTGTTTCATACAATTTTCTTATTTCAACATTTTTCCAGTAAATGCTGTAATCGTAAACTTTCCTAAAGTTTTCCCTTCGTACTTTACAAAGCATTAAGGAAGAAAATCTGACTCATAAGCATGTAATATGTCAGATCACAGGTGGAACAGTGACTAAATTATATGGTCATCAACAAAGATAAAAGAAAGTCCAATCAAGCAGGGAAGAAGATTAAAAATTCAGCCCAGCTACAATTGTTCCTAAGTCAGAAGAACTCAAAGTGGAATAACCATTCCAAACAAAATTTTGTTTTTCCATTGATAATTTAATTGCATACTTCATATTCTGTTCTTGACATTTATCTTGAGTCCCTGATTGAATTTGAAAATTTTGACACTTCCTGATGCAAAGCAGATACCCCTATTGCAGATCATATTTCACATGAACTGTGCTCATTTTCAGTGAACAGAAGAATCAGATTTGATTGTCTCAACAAAACACATCATTGAGACAGTAACCAAAACAGCTACACCACAGAAACCAAGCCAACACAGGCACTTTTGTCTTCCTGCAGTGCTCTGCATCAAACACCAGCAGAAAATAAATCTGGTCGTTTTGCACTGAGCTGCAATTTTAAAATTACATATGGATGGAAAAGGCAATTACTTCCAAGTCTTCAGTTCCTAGTGAGTCAGGAAAAGGCTGCTGATTTTCCACAGGACCACCAGTGAGAGTAATTTTTATTTCAATCCAAGTCAGCTGCCTCATTGTTATGCTCTATTAAAAGATCTTGAATGGGAGGCACAACTTAAGTGGAAACCACAACACTTCCAAGATTTCTTCCCTTATTTTCTCTGTCATATCGACTAATAGAATGGTTTGGATTGAAAGGTATCTTAAAGGTCATCCAGTTTCAACCCCCCTGCCATGGGCAGGGACACCTTCCACCAGACCAGGTTGCTCAGGCCCCATCCAGCCTGGTCTTGAACACCCCCAGGGCTAGGGCATCCAAAACCTCTCTGGGCAACCTGTTTGTAACTAATCCAAATTCCCTGAAACACAATCATTCCTTTCCTGCACTTTTTCGTTTATTTTGTTATAGATATCAACTCTTGGTTTATATGTGGGTACTGTCAAAAGAAAGTTGCACAAGTGGAAGAACACTACACTGAGAAATCAAGACCTCAGCTGTCACGTGGAAGCTGCAAAAAGATTCATTGCTTGTTTTTTTTCACACTTTTCCCTCACCTTCAACAGATCCCCCTAATGCTTACATGTAGAAACTGCTAAGTCAACACACAGCCACATGTTACAAGCTGCTTTTTTTGTGTATGTTCATTTCTCATTCGGGTATATAATGCAGCTGGAATATTGCAGACAGGATGCTGATATTGAGTTTGGAAATTCAAATTTTCCACAAGATTTATTTGGAGACAACCCTCCACCATGAGATGCAGTTCACCTCTTGGTGCTCAGTCTAATTGGATCTTGTATTGCACACAGTTTCTCATTTTTATAGCTGTCAATGGAGTATGATGAGCTCAAATGAGTTTTCTTGCAACTATTTTGGCTTAAATACTACAAGATCGAGGTGATGAGACTGAGAAATTCTATTTTAATACATGCTGGTAAAACTCCAGACAAGGGGGGAAAACCCTTTTCAGTTTTACAGAAAAAACACCAGATGTCTCCCTCCTCCTTTTATCATAGATAGTGCATTTTTTTTCCTGCTATCTCAAGTCAATTTTCTACTAGAAAAATGCAAGTGTACTTGCAGTACCAAAATAGAAAGAAGAGACAACCAGAAATGCAGAAGGCACAGGATTTGATGCTGCAGATACTATTCACAGTATTTAAAGAACAATATCCACTCTGCATCAAAGTAAACACAAATTATGGCCTGTTCATTTATACCAAACACTGGGTAACTGAGACTCTGATCTCCTATGACACCAGATATGTAAATTAATACTTCAAAAAGAAATATTTAGAAAACTTCATGTAGAGAAAAAAAAAATAGGCTTTCATTAGAGTACAAAATAGAAAGAATCCTGTTTCTTGAAGACTTCTGGATTGGTCTCAGGCAATTAGTCAGTTGCGTATCTTGCTTTCCCATCTTTAAATAACTCTTTTTTTTTCTCCTTTTCTCAATTTTATCAAACCAATAGTAATGCTTCACTACATCTTCTCTGGCTCTGAAATCCCTCACTCCTCTTGACTTTAGCTGTGCAGTACCCTCATAGTGCATCTGTTTGTTATACCTGTTTACAAACTCAGTGCAAGTCCATCAAGAAGTATCTTAAATGTTTTCAAATCATATTCTTCATTCCCAAGGCGAAGTGAATACACCAGTTAAAGTAATTACAGCAATGGCTCATGGTAAGCAGTTGGTTTTTCTGCCACTTTGGGGCAGCTCCAGTGACCTGTGGGGTGAGGTGCAGCTTCTGAGCTCTCCTCAGAGGTCACCCACATGCTGCTGGTTACTGCAGGACGGTATTTCCACTCTCCCATAGACACAACCTCCTGGTGCTCACTGCCTTGGAACTCTAGAATCAATGATGGGATAAAATCACCAGGCCTGCAAAAGTCCATTCCACTACCAGGTTAAAAAAAAAAAAAGAGTCTATATTTCCTCTAGCTTTATGGGTACAAGATCCTCTCTAGCTTCTCCCAGTTCTGGAGGTACTCACAGTCTGACTGACCTCCAATGTGAAAGGGTTTTGTTCATGCCCTTTACCTCTTGGTTAGCTGCAGTTAAAACCAGGAGAGTTCTTGGCATATTAGGTCACAATCTGAATGAGTGTGAGGCATAGCTGATCTCACTTTAAATAAAGTCTCAATAAAAATACCCTGCACCTCAGTGCATAAAGAATAAAACTTTGTTTGAGTCCACTCTGTGAAAATAATTGTTCCTTGTCAGCAAAATGAATTGGCAGAAGCTGAATGCCATATTACAGCATGAGCAGAGCTTTCCCATGCAGTGCTGGAGTGAAGTGCTCGAGGCAAACGAGTCCTATTCAGTGTATTCAGGGCATATCACAATGCTACAGAGCCACAAAACATTGACTATCTCAGCTCATTTGTCATGAATGCTGCCTCCATCTTCCCTTGTTTACCATCACCCAGAAAATCTCAGAGACAACATTTATTGTCAGGAGTGATTTTTGCTCCAGCATTTGGGCATGCAAAATTCATCCAACCATATGCGTCCTACACTGAATGGTGTCCACAAGGCAGGTCTCAGAAGTTCTGGGCTCTACTTTTACTGCCAGCCTCATTCAGATTGAGACCTTTTGCTGTGAGCACATCACTTCAAAGTTTAAGGAAAAAAGGTTTGTTGAGTGTCCTTGATGTGCAGCTAACAAATGATCTGATGCAACAAAATTCCAACTACTGATTCTACTGGGTGTGAAAAAGACACTGGAAAGTAGTAATGAATAAACAATAATAAGAAAAAATCAGGCAGGATGAAGCCTCACACTTGCATCTTGATTGTCCCTCTAATGACAGGTTTAATCCAGGGTGAGACAAAGATAAAAATAATTACATTTTGCAGTATTTTTACTTGCCAGTTGACTTACCAGGTCAACACTGTTGTCCCCATCCACCAATCTTGTAAGTTCTGAGTATTTTTCATTCTTCTTTTTCAACTTCATAATACTTTGATCTTTTAAAGTTCTGTTTTCATCTAAAAGCTCTTCCACTTTTTCCTGTAGTTTGATTTCAGATAATTTTAAACTATAGACATGATGGTGAGATTCTTCCAATTTTGTTCTGAGGAAGTCTTCAGTGTTCTGAGAGCACTGCAGTTCAGTCAGCAGGTCTGCCTGTTCTCTTCTAGTGTTCTCTTCTTTTTCCCTCAAGAACTTCAGGTTTTGCTGAAATGCCTTGAAGTGGCTTTTCACATCATGCTCCACATTTTCAATATAACTCTTCCATTCCATTTCTTCCCTGCCAGGGTGTTTACAGCCCTGAGCCCCACTGCACACTGACTGCAGCTTCTGCTGGAGGTGCTGCACCATTCCCTCTTCTAACTTGGATGTCAAAAGAGCAGTATGGGCATTAAGATCTAGGACTTGCTTTTCCAGCCTAGATACCTCACCCTGAAGGTAACAGTCCCTTTTCCTCAGTACTGCTGTCTGCTGTCTCTGCCTTTGTTTGTAGTGCTCAAAATATTCTGACTGGCTTTTTATTTCATCTTCCTTTGTCTTCAGCTGCTCCTGAAGCCAACGCAATTTTTCCTTGTGCTTCTTCTCTGACTTCTTTTGGTTTTCAACCTATCATTTCAGTGAGATATATAGTTAACAACTTAATATCAAAGCTCCTGTTCCCTTATAATTTTTCTTAATTTAGTGATAATTCTACCCTTATTTTCTGAAAATTCAGGAGTGACACAAGTAGAATTTTTTTTAAAGCCAGTAAAATACTGCATTTAGAGCAAAAATAACCTGTTTGTCATTTCAGCCATCACCAAAACATCTCAGTAGGAACCAAATAAAACAAACTCATCCACATTTGCTACTACATGACATACAGGAACCTTTTAAACACATTTTTGAATGTTCTAAAATACATATTAAACCAAAATAAACCTTAGAACTATAATTCATATATCCAGTTCTGATTTATACAGTAACAGATCCTTAACACTGACAGTACTGTAGCACTGGGGTGCTACAGGCAGGGGAGCTGTGGTTCTGTTATAGAAAACAGGACACACACTTTCCAGAGCCCAGGACTTTTCCCATTGCTCTTCACTATACCTGTCATCTGTCAGCTCCTCTTATGGGACTGCTGGAAAAGGAGACAGGAACAGATGCCTTTTGAAACACTGAGAAAGGCTTTGGTATTTTCCTCTGCACTACAGTGTTTGAACACAGAGACCTGGAGGGCCATTGCTCTTCACTACACCTGTCATCTGTCAGCTCCTCTTATGAAAAAGGAGACAGGAACAGATGCCTTTTGAAACACTGAGAAAGGCTTTGGTATTTTCCTCTGCACTACAGAGTGTTTGAACACAGAGACCTGGAGGTGAAAGATGCCAGGAGAAGGCAGAAGAGGCTTTCATGAGTCCTGCACTGCCCTTGCTTTGAGGAGAGCAAGAGCCACCAGCATCACAGGGACATTGCAGCAACTTTTAAGCAAGACTGAAGGCACAGAGACATGAAGGAATTACTTTGGTTTTTTCAAGGACTTCTTTAGATCAGTCATTTTGATCATCAGTACTTTCCTGTCTGAGGCATTCACTGGCAAGGACTGGCCAGAAGGAACACTAGGCTGAACAGTCAGGTAGATGTGGGCTAATATTTTGTTTTGTTAACTCTTGATGAGAATATATGTCCAAGCTTCCTGAGTCTTGAAAAATACATTTCACTTTTAATTACAAAAGCAAAGGCTATTCCTCATTCTTGGGAATCTTGCCACACAATACTGGTGTCCTGTTGAAGTATTCAATTTTGACCTAAAATGCTGACAAAATGAAAGGATATCTTATCATAAACAGAATTGAAAGACACTGTTTCACTGAAGCCTGTTCCTGAAAACTTTTCATTCTGTCTCCATTTTCATGAATCTATCAAATAAGCAAACTAGATAAAAATGCCTGTTGTATGGGTCTAGAAAGATAAAGTCTGGCCTAAGAAGGAGTGCACTGAGTATGTCCTAAGGAGAAAGTAAGAAGGGGGAGCATAAATTTAATCAAGGGCCTGAATGAGAGAAATAGCAGCAGTGCTATCAAAACCAACAGAGAAATAGAAAGCTGGGAGGCAAAAAAAAAAAAAAAATCCAAAAATTATTCTTATTTCTTTGGTTGTAGCAAAAGAGAAAGGCTGAGACCATCATTTATTGCTTAAAAGCAGAGGTCACTGGAGATGAACTTGACTTATAAATTGCTATCAAAAAGAGGAAATAAACCAAATAAACCAATTGTCATTTGCAGCAGAATCCCCTCACCAAGTGCATCAGGTCCTCCTGGATGCTTTGCAGTTTCCCTTTAACGCGCAGATTGGCATTTTCAACCTGGTCCAGCTTCACACAAAGCTGATCAATCATCACAAGAAGTGTTTTGTGGGACAGCTCCAGCTCTTTCATCCTGTGATAGTGAGAATGAACATTTTTGCTCAGTCGATACCACAGCAAAGTTCCAGAAGGGTAAGTGGTCACAAGCAATGCATCAATTTATCTTTATTTTTGTATTTGTCCCCCAAAATAAAATAATAACAAAGTTTTGATCGCTAATATAACAAACATTTAATTCTTAACAAGTCTACTGGGGTTTGCACATTATGCTGGAGCATGTCAAAATTGTTCAAGATAACACCTTTCTGCTGACTTAACAATACCATAAGCAAAAACTTTTACAAGATTTTTGTTCAATGGAGTTTGGCATGCTATATGATGTAGCAACTCACCATAAAGACAACCACAGCACTTCAGTCTCTGCATGTACCTGATCATAGGATTGTAGCAGGTTCACAGTCAATGAAACTCAATTTTTATGACAGTAAATGCTTCCCATCACAATTAACATTAGGGGCAACCTACAAGTACCTATATTTTAGGGGCTGAAGTGAAAATATCTTACTTGTACCATGTCATCAGTGGGTACTAAACCTACAGTGAGTAATTGTATTGACTTTGTCCACAAAGATGGATTTTGACAAAATACAGGTTTGCTTTGCTTGTTACTATTCAAATGGTAGTATAAAATTACAAACAGTAAATGCTTCCCATCAAAATTAACATTAGGGACAACCTACAAGTACCTATGCTTTAGAGGCTGAAGTGAAAATATCTTACTTGTACATGCCTTCAGTGGGTACTAAACCTACAGAGCACAATTGTATTGACTTTGTCCACAAATATGGATTTTGACAAAATAAAGGTTTGCTTTGTCTGTTACTATTCAAATGGTAGTATAAAATTACAAACTATTATATGAAAATATTTTTAAAAAAGATTAATTATTATTGTGAAAAAGACCATTATTAAATATTTCCGAACAAAATTACTTGATTAATTAAAATAAATTAAAAATTATACAAATAAGTGTTTCAATGACATTTATATTTCCTATCCTTTTTAACTTTTACATTCTTTAGAACAGTGCTGTTGCTGACTATCAAAACCTTATTATTCTAGTCAAATGTATAATTAATGCTTAATGGCACCATCTACTGTAATGGTTAGCACTGACACACTAACTTAGATGAAGCTTTCTGAAAAAAGGAAATTTTTTTACGACACAAAATTCCAAATTAACTCTTATTTTAAAAGGAAAGGAATATACTTGACAAACAGAATTTGTATCATATGAACATTTAAGAATGAAACATCCTGAGAAAGCTGCCTGATTATTTGCAACAGTATGTTAGACCATGCTGTAAATCTTACTTAAATAATAATTCTTAAAAAAATTATTATTGCATTTCTATTCTGACAGCTATACAAACTACACATTAGTCTTCTCCAACACTCTAAAAACACAGAAAGTCTTTCTTTTTACTGGTTCTGCATGTATCATTTGACAACCAGTACACAGGGCAAAGTGAACAGTACATTTGTCACATAACAATAAATTTTAATGCAAAGCCCCCCTTAATTTACCTATTTCTTAGGATGGAATCTGACTCCACATACTCCTCTAGAACATTTTTCAGTTTTTCCTCTGACTTTTCCAGCTCTTTTATTCTGACATTCAAATTCTCTTCTCCAGCACTGCTAACTTTTTCATCAGGTGTGCCTGCATCTTCTAATTCCTGGAAAACCAAGGAAGTAGCAATTTTAACACTGAAATTCAGAATAGCAAATCCTTCATTACTGGGCATTCTAATACAGTAACAAAATTCTTGTTCTCTTCCCGATGAAGGATCCATGATGGAAAAGAGCCCAAATTAGATTCTCAATGTACTAGAGTCTAAGCATGCAATAACAGAGTCTAAGCCTCTGGTGATCAAATGAATAGTCCTTCTTGATTCTGAACACATTTATTATTTATGAGAAAGTCTCATTTCATTAGCCCCATTAGCATATGTGAAGGGAGTTGCTGTTTACAACATGAGATCCCCATAAAAGATTCAGTTAGACTAATTAATAAAGGAATTAGTCATCAAAGTTCTGAAAAGAGAATAATTTCCTACTAACCATGGGAGTTTAACACTGAGTGTGTTTACTTTGGATAAATATATTACATTATTATTGTTTCAAGACAGAAGACTAAAAAAGCATATTTACTATTCAAAGGGCATTCTATAACTATTTCAGAGAAAACATCCTGTTTATTTAATTGGTATTTTGTAATTCTGCATGCAGTATTTTACTTGTATCTACTTCACTTCTGACAGGTCATGAAGCCATAGCTCAAAGATATTTTCAAATTTGGGCTTGAGAAGGCAAGCTAAGGTTGGTTCTCTTCTGCCTCTTTTAGTCGTAGGTCTAAAAATTCTTCAGAAACTCACTTCAGTAAGTATAGTCTTATAACTGTGTCCTGGTTTCTGCTGGGACAGAGATAATTTTCTCCTTAGAAGCTGGCACAGCGCTGTGTTTTGGATATGGGATGAGAATAATGTTGATCACACTCTGATGTTTTGGCTGCTGCTCAGCAGTGCTTACCCTACATCAAGGACTCTTCAGTGGCTCATGCTCTGCCAGTGAGGAGCTGCACAAGGAGCTGGGAGGGAGCACAGCTGGGACAGCTCATCCAAACTGTCCAGAGGGATATTCCACACCACAGAGCTTCTTTCTCACTATATAAACTGAAGGGAATTACCCAGGAAGGGACTGATTTCTGTTCAGGAACTGGCTGGCCATTGGTCAGCAGGTGGTGGGAAACTGCAGTGCAAAGCACACTTGCTTATCTTGAGTCCTGTTAAATACTCTCTCTCCCTCCTTATAATTACAATTATTAGCATCAGCATATTATTGTAGTATTATTTTGTCTCAATTATTAAACTGTTTGTTTCTCAACCCAAGAGATTTACTTTGTCTTTCTGATTCTCCTCCCTACTGGTGGAGGGAGGGTGTGGATGGAGCAAGGAAGTGGCTGCACGGTGCTGGCTGTCAGCTGGGTTAAACCTCAACCAGCTGGCACCTGTGAAATGCCTGTGAAATGATTTTGCTACACTTGTGTTGATTTGGAATTGGATCTGTTACTGGAATTCAGCCAGAGTTTGGATTGATTACCAAGGAAATAATGCAATTACTATTTTTTTTGGTAGACAAATGCTAAATCTACAGTGCGAAGAGGAAGATAAAAGTAACTTTTTTGATGTTGATGAGTAGAAAATGGCACAAAATTCAGTAAAAAGATTTAAAAAACCAGTTCTCTTATCACCTTATGTTTTGATGTTTTGTTATGTGCTATTCACAGGTTCAGTCAATTACATAAAGTAACTTTGGTCAATTGTATGAACTCACTGGCCTTGTGTCAGTTGCACAAGGACCTAGAGCTGAAACAATTCAGGCACTCCTCAGCCCCTTAAGAAGCCATGATACTTAAAAGCTTCAAGTATGGATAGACATCAAATAAATCCATGTGGACAACAAAGTTCACACCTCTTTGTGATACCAAGCCCAGTCTCTTCTCAGAGACCATGCCTCCCTGAGACATGTTAACATAATTATGGCTGGCCCCTGGATGGTATCATTTCTCAAATGGAACAGTATCTTCAATGCAAGCTCCTTGAGACAGCAGTATTTTGTTTTTGTTATTCATAAATAGAATAAACACCCTGTTCTCTGACAATGGTTATCCCCGAACAGCACTGCAAAAGGCACATATAATAACAGCGAACATTGCCATTTTTCTCATTAATAATTTACAGTGGAAGCCAAATTAACATCATTTGCAACTGTAGTATGAGCCCAGAAAAGCTGTTAAACTGACACAAGCAATGAGACACTTACAGTTTCCTTCTTCACTTATACAGCAAGGACAGACGGTTTGAAAGCTGTGTCACAAAAAGGGAAAATCAGGCCCAAATTCTGTCCTTCAGTCCATCTTGCATGGACTGAATCACAGAATAATAGAATCACTAAGGTTGCAAAAGATCTCTAACAGCACCAAGTCCAACCACTAACCCAGCAGTGCCAAGACCAGCATTAAACCATGTCCTCAAGTGCCACATCCACCTCTGAACATTTCCAGGGATGGTGATTCTACCAGCTCCCTGGACAGCCTGCTCTAAAGCTTGAAAAACATGTCAACACACTGTACTCATTCCCAGCTTTACAGCAAATACCAATATACAACAGATAGTAAGACTGTAATGATCTGTTTGCCAAAAGTACAAAAGTGCAGAAAAAAGACCATCATAAATGCAATGGGAAATGTCAGCCCAATCAGCCAGTTTTCTTGAGACAGCTGTCACCTGTGCATTACAGTGTAATGACAAAACACACAACCACATTAGGAAACAGAACTGTTCATACCTTCTCTGCTTGGTAAGACCCTCTCCTGTCCGTGCAGTGCGCTTTTCATGGCAGCCACATGCTCTGACCATGTTTGTGCTTGTAGTTCCATATTCAAAACAGTGACGAGCAAATCTGTGTCTATGAGAAGTGCTTCTTTGCCAAGTGAATCCTTGTTCCTTCACTGGCGCCAGGTTTGATTATCTCAAGCTCTGTTTACCTTCTGTTGTGGTCCTTTGCTTTTGAGCGATGCCAGGACTCCATCTCATAGTGAAGGCTTTATTTTCCCACATTCTGTCATCACACTGCTAAAACCCTTAACTAAAACATGAAAAATTTCTATTTGAAAACACATTCTAGAAATGCTTGTTCCTTTTGAACAATATATTGTGAGCAGCACATTCTTTTGGAGATTGAGATTCCAGACTTTTGCATGATCCTCGTTTCCAAGGGAAATTGTGCTTTCTACCAGGGTTACTCTGACCCTGACATCAGCCACAATTTGCTGCATGTGACTGAATTAATCTTGTGGAGTGTCTCAGCTCCTTCTGTAGGTAAAAGCTCTTGTCCAGTGATTTTTTGTGCAGAGTTCTTCTCTTCAGAGACTGATAATTATCTCAGAAAACTTGCTGCTTCTGAGGCTGATTCCAGCACCTTCAACAGCTTCCTCTGTCCTTCCTTAGTTGCTCATTGCCTTATGTTATTTTTGTCAATCATAATTTCCACTTCATGTGATGTCTTATTGTAACCAGCTACTTCATGTTGGAGTTCAGTGTGTCCATGGGAGTAGACTTATGTCACAAATATGATTTTCAAGAAAATGTGAGGGAAGGAGAAAGTGATCTTCTAATATTGTGCTCTTAATGTTCGCATCTTGCCTCAACATTTCAGAAATAATTAAAATTATCTATTTCTTCATATTGTCTTTCCAGTTCTGAAGTATTGATTTGTTTTTCCCTCTTTGAAAGAGTAATATTTTTTCATTTTCTAACCATTCTCTTAAACAGGTCTTTGCAACTTCTACTTTTTCAGTGTGTGCTTCACCCCAAATTTTCCTCGCAGTTCAGGTGGTCAATGATTGTTTATCTACCTCTGCTGGTTGAGGTTGTGCCATTTTTGCTAATGATGATATTCTTTTATTTCACCTGAGAGGATGTAATGATTTCCAAATATTCATGTTCAACTATTTCTCTGCTTATCACATTTTTCCACATGCCCATTTCTCCAAGTCCTTCTTTCTTCTTGAAGACATAACTGAGCACAGCACATCATGCATTCTCTTTTCCTGACCTCTCAGGCCACCATGGAATCTGTCATTTTCCCAGTGCCGTCTTTACAAGACATTGCCTTACTTTTCAAAAACATTCAAAGAATCATATTTCCCACATAGTTCTCACCCACTTTAAAGTTTTCATACTTCAATCTACCATTTTGCCTTTCTCCAAAACCTTTCTTTCTGCACCTGTGGATTTCCATCTTAGGAATTTGATATGAATTTGACCACTGCAGGGTAGTAATTCTTTATTTGTTTCCAACTTTGAACATTTTGCTTCCTTGCAGCTATTTACTAGAGACAACTGAATGTCAAACACTTAGCTTTTTTAATATAGATATTAAAAAGGAGATCCTGTGTTTCTTGGGTGAAATGAAAACCACATTTGTTGAAAGCATGCAGTATGGAGTCAAAGATCTCAGTACTGTAAGAAAACCATTTGGTAGGTAACAGTTCACATAGCAGCCAGTAATTGCACTTGTATTTTTTCTGCTGTTTGGTTGGTGGGAGAGTGTAAGTCCTGTTTGTAATTTTTTTCAGTGTTTATGATGTGCTGGTCCTTATTTGATTGTGAAATCATTCCAACTTGAAGCCATATCTTTAAAAAAAATCTCTAATTTTAAGTTCAAATATTTTGCAGCTTCAAGCATTATGCAAACTGCTTTATAAAAAAAATGCACCAATTTAAAGCTGTTTAATAAATATTTTCTGTATTTTTGCATGTGGACTCAGCTTTTCACTCCATAGCTTCTTTTAATAGCCTGTAAACAAAACAAAACCAAAACAGAAAACAAAAACAACAAAGAAAAGAAAAAGTCTGCTGAGCTTTAGATAAAAACCATTACTTTAGAAATATGTGTTGGTATTGAACCCTAAATTCACAGACACACAATACCTTTCTCAATGTTTTATATTACCTTTAGAATAACTAGAACCAAAGTTACCATCATTAAATCACCTGGTTTGCTTTGAAATAATTAACAGTGTTGAAAAGTCCAACTATAATTAAGTATCTTAAAATTGGCTTTTCTGTGTTAATCAGAGACAGATTCACCTCTGGTAAGATGAATTAAAGAACACTGCCCTTCACACCAGCACCACAATGTGATGTGCATTCCTAGAAATGTCAAAAGCTGAGTAGTTATGTGGCTACACAGTCACTACCCCTGTGTTATCTCCTCAAAAAGCTTGTCACCAAGCTTGAATTTAATTACCTAAGTACTTACTGTCAACAGGAAGAGTAGCACATTATATCAGCACAATGCATTTTTGGAAGACTATTAACATTTTCAATTTTTTTTTTTTCTCTTTTAATATAAGGGGAACCCAGAACACTATCAGGTAATATCTGTGTGGAAAACTATAAATCCCTTGAATGCATAGTATGTCAAAATGTTTTAAATAGAATTTTTAAAATACTGGTGATTTCACTGTTTATTGAATGCTTATAAAGTATCTCTAGACTTGGCCAGTGTACATATTAAACATATTAATACATATTAAAACATTCTTTCAACATATTAAAAGCATATATATTCATCCAGCTGCTAGCACCTCTAACTGGGACTGGTATAAAAAACCTGGAGGAAATTCCTAAGGCAATAGTTTGGTGACTCTTTTAACATTACTGTTTCAAACTTATCTTAACCAAAATAGCATCTGTCTTATCTGATCTCATCCAAAAATTCACTTTGAAATGTGGAAAGGTGAATAGTTTACTACAAGGCTTCATCTTTCTTCAAACACCATTCTGTAAGCATATGCTAAATTTTTTACAAAATAAACAAAATTTCAGAAGCAATCCTAAAAATACTGAAAAATTTTGTTCAATTTCAACTATTTTTCAACTTCTAACAATTAAAAGAAAGCTCCTGCACTTTTAAGAAAACAATAATACCTGAGAATTACATTCTACCCATCTGGATCTGTTACCATTTTATTGCAAAATTTATTGAAAAATAAAAAGCATATGCAGCAATGCTTGTAATGAAAGCCCAGAGCAAGTTCCAAAGAGCATCAACAGAAAGATGATAACTGAACATACTAGACCTGAATAAACTCTAGAAAGAGCCCATAATAATACAGGTCTGATTTTTCAAAAGTATTTGAGATCTGGGCAGTAGAAAATAATGTTTCATGCTAACAATATTGTTCCATGCTCATAATAGTGTCTCAGGGTAACAATTGTCATCATTCTTTTTATCAACAATTGTCATAATTCTTTTTCATCATACAGTACTGATTGCAGTTTCAAAGATGTTGATTAAACTCCCACCATAAGATTACTTGAAGATAATTCACAACAGATTACAAAGAAGAAAAAGCTTAGAAATCTTGTAAAGGTAAAAGCATTGTGTATTATTGAATTAAAAACAAAACCAAAAAGCCAAGAGTAACAATAAAAATACTGTATAATATTCAATAGCTTTAAAGCACAGTTTAATCCTCAGTTAGGCTGCTGAGTTACCATCCTTCCTGAAAGGCAGTGTGGAACTTGAACTGCTCCAGGGCAGAGGACTGGGACTGATTTTCTAAATTGCATTTCCCTCTTGTTCTCTGTGAAAGGTGAGCACTGGTGCTATGGCTCCTGCCACAGCTGCAGAAATTCACTGCCTTTTGCACTGAGCTGAAAGGATGAGCACACTGGGAAGGACAGTGAGAGTGATGGCAATGTCTCAAGGGAGAGGCACAGAGGATTTTTATCCTCACCTTTTCCATGTTGTGTCATTCAACTGCAACCTTCAAATTGCCTCATAAAAGGGAAAATTTGTTATTAATCCTAAGTTATGTCATGGCCTCAAGGATCTGGAGGAAGTGAAACAAAATAGGAAGCTTCCTATTTTGCATGGGTGGTTATGCTCACAGGGCTTCTTAGAAAGCAAAACTTAAGCCAAGTGGTTCTTTGCCACCTCTCCATCCAGCATGACACAAGGCAGGAACCTACAGCAATAACTGAACTTTTCCATTCTGCTCTGCGAGAATGGAAAGCACTCACTGCAGCTATGGCAATCAGTGTCTTTGAATACAAAATCATTTCTCAGTGAAAACCCAATCACTTTCTGCAGAAATCTAGGAAGGAAAGTATCCAAGTTGGACTTTATAAGTGGCTCTTCCTCTCTGTGCAGGTAAAACCAGTATGCCCTTCCTCTCGGTTTCAGGGTCTTACAAACAATCCCCAAAACATGGCAAAATCTAGGAGTCAAAGACTGAGTACAAAGAAATGTAAAGAATACCAACCACACGTCTCGGCTCAGTTGTGTCATCAAGGCCACAGAATGAATGCTAGTGAAAAAAACAAAAAAAGGAACAAAAACTATAACATAAGATCAAAAGAAAATGAGGAAAAAAGAAAAGAAAGAAGATGTAAGATATGTAATATGAAATCCAGTGACATTACATCAGTTAGTCTTACATCATTAATTGAGTTGATCTGAAAGAAAGACACAATATACCAATCTTACTTTAAAAAGCAGTAAAAAAATCAGTATATGAGGGGAGTTTTGCAATAGCAAAATCTGTGGATTCATATATATTAGGCTTGGTTTTGTGATTCACTTAAAGAAGTACTTATAATTACACACACTAAAGCTTTCCTGAATCAAGGCGTACCAAGCTAAGGACACAACCTAAATGCAACTGAAATAGCAGAGAATCAGCTGCAAGAAGAGCACAGCATGTTTCAACAGCATTTGTTCCTAATATATGAACTCACAGATTAAAACTGAGATTTTATATCATTCTTCTGCATAGTCTCTAGAAACAGGACCGTTTGCTGAAGAATATATAGGGTAGAAATACTGTAATATTCATGTTCTGATTTGACAGAATTTTATACAAAACTTAAAAATTGAATCCACTCCTAAAGGAAAATGAAAAGTCATACTCAGACACAGTAACTGTAAGTGTTGTATTGCCCTTAGCTACCACCAGCTATAAATGCTATAAATTCTACTTTCCTTTGAAAGAATAAGACTTCACAAGAAATTACTGTGCTCAGTATCAGCAGCATGTAGGTGTCAGTCTGCACCCTTTAACACATTAAACCTTTAGAAGAACAATGAGGTAAAATGATAATATTCATTGCTACCCTGACAACACAACCTTCCTTTGGGCCACCAGAATGGGATTTAACCCTAGGGAAAAAATAATTCAAATGTAATAGAGATAGAAGGAAGCCCTCCACCCATCCAGAAGCTGAAGGTCAATACAAAGAGATGAAGCTTTTTTGAGGTCTCTTGCTAATGTAACATTAAAGCAAAGAGGATGTTAATCATTTTAACTCATTACCAGCTTTCTGCTAAGCTTGTGATTAAGCTCTTTCTTTTCCAGTGCTTTTCCACATCCATCCGGCTGATGAACCAGCAGAGATAATGCTATTTTCCATTTCCAAAATTATCAGCTGGCTAATCCCATACCTGCTCTGTAAACTGTAATGGCAGTGCCTTAAAGGCCTACGTTTTGGCAAGAGCAACATCTAGAGATGTTTATTTTTTAGAATAGGTGGATAAACAGTAATATTTGAAATAGTTAATATGTACAAATTTTGTCTATCCCTCAACATTTCTCTGCTTTGAGGAGTAAAGTGTAACACTTTAGACATCACTGGCTGCTAGGCAGGAACAGCTTCAGGTATAGACATGGTCTGGGGCAGAAGAGGGCAAAGGCAGCAAAAGGGCCCTTTTAAGGGTGAAAAGAGGTGAATAGTGCCTGTGTTTCTCTGCCAGTGGCACTGCTCTCCCAAGGGATGCAGACAGACCAGCCCCAGCCACGTCACTGTGGGGTGACATAAAGCAGCAATTAGAAACATCAGCAGACACCGCAGCTTCTGCAGGCTCCTCTCCTGCTCTTCCACAAACCCAGACAGGTATCACGGTCTGAAAAGTGCAGGACAAGGTACAGCAGAGGGGAGACAACTACTGTGGGAGCAGAAGGGGCCGAGGGAGATGCTGAGGGAAATGGAATGGTTGCTGGAAGTGCAGCTGGGAGGACTGCCACATCCTGAAAGCAGATGAAGGGATGCTGAGATCAGAGAAGGGTGAGGAAGAGACTCTTCCACACCCAGTGAGCTGCTCCCTGAATCCTCCCTCTGTTCTGCCAACCCCGCTGACCTCTTTCAACTCCCTCCAGAGTCCTGCAAAAGCCGTCCTTTTGCCCTTTTACCCATTCTCATCCCAAGAGAAAAAAACAATGACTGAGAACTCCACTAAGGTCTCCATTCAGCCCAGCAGTAGGTTTATGTAGGATTACATGCTCATAACTGCTGAAGAAAAGGAAGCTGGGACTTCTTGTTGGCATCCAGGCACTGGTGCAGCAAAGGTAACATAACCAAAACACTCTGCTGGGGCTAGAGAAAGACCCATTGTCATTCATGCTCTGCAGAGCAGCCTGAACTCCACAGACCTGTGAAACACCTGAGCCCACACTCCACAAACCTTGTGCCATCCCTAGTTTGGGAGCCACAGTGACACAAATTAAATTGCTGTATGAAGCCCTGATCAGAGCTTCCTTTTTCTTAAAAAAATCAGATCCATTATACTAACTTTTTTCTATATTAAAACAAGAAATACTCCTTAATTGTAGTGTTTCACAGGCACTTCCCTAATTTTGTTTTATTTTTCAGTACTTGAAAGTTTTGCAAAGCAATGCTATCCAAAGAATAGGGCTGAGCTAACCAAGTTTTTCAGAGACAAATCTTTGTTCTTTTTTGATCTAAACCACAGCAAATCCTCCTT